AACTTAAGAAACCTCTTTAGCTCACGACTAACCTAAGAAACCTTTTTAGCTCACGACTAACCTAAGAAACCTCCCTAGCTCACGACTAACCTAAGAAACCTCCCTAGCTAACAAATAACCTAAGAAACCTCCCTAGCTAACAAATTACCTAAGAAACCTCCCTAGCTCACGACTAACCTAAATATAACCTGCCTAGTTTGACTAACCACAACTAACCTTAACTGCCTAGCTTACCTAAGAAACTTCCCTAGCTCACGACTAACCTAAATATAACCTTCTTAGTTTGCCTAACCACAACTAGCCTTAACTGTTCATGCCAAGTTTGCCTAGCCTCAACTAACATTTAACTGACTAGCTAACGACTAACCTAAATATAACCTGCCTAGTTTGCCTAGTCACGACTAACCCTACCTCCTTAGCGTACGACTAACCAAACTTATTTATCAATCCACCTATACTGAAATAAATCCTGTTACAGCAACCAGGTAGTAGTTTTACAGATTATCAAGAAATCGTTAGACATTAACAAATATTCCATAACGACATATAAACTGCCGAACCGTTCTCATCTGATTTCCGGAATAATCAATTAACAAGTGCTAGACTGGTGAAATAACAATCAAGGACTTCGTTTTGCTTGTCATCCTAAATAATGTACCTAACCTGAAACTCTGCTTCGAAAGCCAGTAGGATATTTAATATCACTCACTGATAATATCAATAGGCCTACTAATACAAGATTTCAATCCATTCGTGCTAGTACTGTATATTTTGGTTCTTTCATCAAGACAGAATGAAATTTATTCAGTTCTATCAAACTGTTTAGTCATTTCAATCCTTAATATTTTAAGATAAAAATTGCTTCGTCGCAAAGTTCCTTCAACCTTCTTTAACAATATTACCTATTAAATAACTAGGTAAAGTAGCACTAGAACTGGTTCGGGAAATAAATGTATCCTAAAGCACTAGTATTATGTTATTAGTCACAATTGTGTACCGTTAAGCTCTTGTACTCTCTTAAAATGTATGATTATCTACAGTACTAGGATTATATTTTGCACTAGTATTGTCTTTAGCACTATTGTCCTATTTGCATACATATGTGCTTCTCAACGAGAAGAAAACTATTTACTATATATAAAAATAATTTACCAATGGATGTTTAAAAAATCAGAGGTAAAAGTTCAATAATGGATTTAAGCGTACTGCATTCATATAAAGTTTTATAGCTTCCAAATTATAAATCTATGTCTACAAAATACTCTTAAAAAGCTTTTAAGAAGGGATTTTTAAATTTTCAACAATCTATCATTCTTACCGTTTTAATTGCACTAAACTGCGAATTATCAGAGTAGCAGCCACAAAATAAAAAGAATTCAAACATAACCAAGCCGTGCGCCATGTTAGCTAAACCAACACCACTTTCACTGTCCAAGAAATTGGGAAATCGGGTCTCTATTTGTGCCACTGTCGTACGGTGGGCGACACTACTCCGTCCGACTGTAAATCGTATTATATTAAATCGGCTTTCTCAGGCTTACCATACTAAACAATATTTACCGCCGGGTTATAAATGAGGGATTTTGTTGACAATCATAAAATACGTAATATGTCCTGAGTTTTGTTAGACATTATATTGGATATGACAATTATTGTATTTTCTCCACGCGATATAATTATTTTTTTTTATGGAGAGACAATGCTTTTTTTAAACTTAAGTATGTTACATTTGACATTTTACATTAGGTACAAAATGTTCTTTAAACGAGCACTCTAGTTTGAACTAAGCATGTACTATATAGCGCATGGCTATATAGCGTTAGGGGTATGTAATAAAAGTTCTAAATAACTTAGAAAATTATTAGGTACTCTATTTTCAATCAAGATAAAGTAATTTTTAACACATAATGACTGTGAGTTTAATCTAAATAAGAAACTGCACCCCCTAAATGTTGAAACACTGTGGTAATAATTTATTAGTCTATGTGTAGTCAGCAATTATACATTTTTTCAAATTCAATACCTAATATTAATCTATTTCTCACATTTACGTGCAAATAAAAATATTTACACCACGAAAATAGTTGCTCACCAAATAGTGCGAACAATCACTTTACACGTTTAAACAAATTTTTATAAGATGGAATTTTTGATATGGCAATTGAAGGCAAGGTGTTGTATATTAAAACGTGTTTGTGTTTATGTATCATACTGCAAACAGTAAAGTACAGATGTGGGTCATATTGTAGCGGGTGTTATAGTCAATCGATGCCATGCAAACACTATACAACATGCAGGTCTGGGTAATACAGCTGGGGCTAACCAAAGTACATTGTAAAGTCACGAATTAAAAAATATTATATTGTTGAACTATTATCTTAGATCATTTTGAAATAAAAAAGAGTATGTTTTATCATAGACAAATATAATTCTATTTGTCTATGGTTTTATCTATGATTGGCAGTTAAGATATTTGTAGATTTTAGTCACCGGTATGAGAGAATATGAAATCGTCATCAACGAACCCCTGCGTTAGTCCAAATAACAGACCAAACCCCGCTTTATATTTTAAATTAGATCGATAAGTCTACTTTAGTATTAAACAACTAATGTTACATGTTTAATTTATAAAACAACGATATGTCGATACATTAATAGAAAAGCATGTTTTTTAACCTTTTTTCTCAGCTCGTGTGCATTGCAGGGAAAATCTACACATATTGTTAGAAATATATTTTTTCCTGTAGATAAGCAGAATCCTTTTATAAATTAAAATAAGCACAAAAAATGAACTTTAAATTAGAAAAAAATTTACATGGGCCTTATGGGTTGCCACGCTGGTGACGAAATAACAACTAAATATAATCAGAAAATCAAAACAAATGAAAGAAATTCCAATCTCAATTTTTTTTACAGCGTGGGGTGAAAATACTAAGTCTGTTTAACTTTACATATTTTTGGTCGAGTTTTCGATCACTGGACGACCTCTAGCATTTATTATTTAACAAAGTCACAACGCCATTATGTTATGGAAATTTTTGGTCCTATTCTAACACTAACACGAAAATTGTCTCAAACAAGATTCTACCTACTGAATAATGTTGATCTTTATTGCATTCTATTAGCTAATGAATATTTTTGAACCTTAATCCAATACTATAGTTTCAATACAATCAATTTAGCTAGTCAGGTTAGCTAAACGTTTAGTAGAGTTTAAAATATACGTTACGACTAAAATACGTTTCAGTAATAAATATTACAAGTATAATTGACAAATAATTCAGTCACGAAACAGTTTAACTAATTATATAATTGAGTAAAAAGTGTAGACTTGTCAAATTGAATATTTGTGTTTTACAACACATATAATGTGTAACTGTAGCACATGTTTATTCATTTAACCTTTTACAGAACTATTTATGGTAACTGTTGAGATATAATATTAAAATGAAGCATTTTCTTAAAATGATTAAAAAGTATAAAAGTCTGATTTCAATAATCATATTTGAGTAATCCATATAATTTTACGTAGTGCCAAAAGAAAATGTGTAACTATTGTTAAACAAATGTAATATGGAACTTAACTTTAATATTATTTTTTTTATATTTAATTAAGAAACTCTGTGATTATAAACACTTTTATGTAAGGTACCCATGGAATATTAAAGTTTCTGTTAACGAAACTAGATTGGAATCGAACACAAGGACTTTTAGTAAAATCTGTTACAGGGACGCGAAACGAATTTATCCATTGAAAATTTAATACAACAATAAATATCCACTTTTATTAGAACCAATTTTTACTTAAAATACAAACAATCAAACACGTCCAATCTTTTACGAAAGGATTAAATTTCGGAGTAGCCTATTGAAAATATAAATTCAAAAATTGTTATTAGTATTCGCTACCTTCCTAGCCGCAGTACAATATTTAATAAAAATTTGTTTAAGAAACAATCAAGTAATAAAATTCAAAGAAAAAAGTAATAAAATATTTGAGAGGACTATAGAATTTTATCCCATTGTCAAATTTACCCTTTGCTCTAAAACAATAGAATACATCTGCTACTAATAATTCAATTGCCACTTGTATATTTTAGACGCGGACATTTTCAGATTAGCAACTCGATTGTTCGAGTAAAGTTTATTTCAAGTGCTCCCCCTCCCCTGTTGCGTTTGGCCTTTAGAATCGGTGTTTTCATGTCAGGGTCACGACAGTAAATGTTTACGTATTACTACAATTGGCTACAAATTAGTCACTAAACCGCATTTTTTACTATTTAATTTCCAATAACTGAATTCGTCGATTGAATATAGAGTTAAATTAAAACTTTAATTCTGAATTAGAATTTTGGCTACGAAAACCTTTGAAGATGAAATTAAAATAAAAGCATAGAAAGGGGTGATAATATAAGATAATCGTTGACATATATTTTAAACCGAGAGTTTTGTTTTTACTACTCCTACTAGGGGCTTAAGAACTGATTTAGGCCCTACTGAAGGCTGAGATGAATTCAAAGAATGGGTTACCGCACACTAATTGATATGTCTTAGAGCACCTTCTGCAAATGTATGCGCATGATAAGAATTTTTCAAAGGAAAACTTTGACTTTGCAAACAACAGAGCCTAACAACGCTTTAATCTTTCACGTGATATGAGTTAAGATCGATTATACGGATGCTTGGGGAAGCTTACTGTTGGTGTAAGCCTTGGCATTTTTAAGAGCTTTTTAAACAAAAAAATAGTTTTGAGTCATCTAGGTATGTGATTACTGTATTTTAAATTTCTAAGGGCGCCAAAGTTATTTTAAGTGGGTTTATCTACTCGAACAGTTTTTTTTTTTTTTTACATTCTTGTAGAACTAATTTTTCAGTAAATGCGTAGAACGTTTGCTAAATTTGTATGAGCAAAAATGAAAACACTTATCATAACCCTGCAGTAGGCTACATCCAACAAACTACTATAATTCTAACATTAGCATAGATAAACACTGACGTACCTTCCAATTTCATCCCAACTTCGAGGCACTTCTGGAAGCGGCAATAAGGACACCTTTTCCTCTGAGTCTTGTCTATATGACAGGACCGATCAGCCACACAAGTATACACCTTCTTGTTTTGCACGGTCCGCTTGAAGAATCCCTTACACGATTCGCAGGTAAGGAGGCCGTAGTGATAGCCGGACACTTTGTCCCCGCACACGGGACACAACTCCTCGAACCCCTCCTTGGTGTCGGGCAGGTCGGGGTTGGCGACGGACGCCGTGGGCAGCTGGGAGGCGGCCGGAGGATAGGAGACACAGTCCATGTTCCCGATACCTGGGAACGAGAAGAAACACGCTGTATCTATGTTGTACAAGGAGGAGGGTGGTTTGTTGGCATTAGTGTTGGTGGTGTCTATACAGTACATGGAGGAAGGGGTTTTGTTCACTTGGGTGTAGAGCGGACCGGACGGACTCGCGGGGTGGAGGGAAGACGGTTTGTTGGCCGTGGAGGATTCGATGCAGTACATGGGCGAGGGAGGTTTGTTGGCTTGAGAGTACAGAGGTGCCGACGGGCTGGTAGGATGCAGGGAAGACTTGTTAGCGGTGGAGGACTCTATACAATACATGGGCGAAGGAGGTTTGTTAGCCTGGGTGTACAGAGGTGCCGACGGGCTGGTAGGATGGAACAGGGAGTATTCGTGTTGGGGATGCTGAGAGGCTGCGGAGGCGGGGGTGTACAGAGGCGGCGAGCCGTAGACCGGAGGTGGCACCCCCGAAGAGCCACCCCTGGGGCTAGCTGTGCCGCCCGCGGAACTGTTGGGGCTGCCACCGCCTCCGCTGCTCAGGTACGAGGCGTGGGACATGTTGAGGGAGGCCAGGGTCGAATGTTGCTCCATGTCCAATAACATAATCAAGAGGGCACGACACTCGAACACATATCACAAGTCACACACTGACACGGCGCGAGCGACGGCACGATGCGCGCACTAGGATAGTCACACGACGAGTGGGGCTCGCGCGCCGGCTAACAGTGAAAGTGACGGTTCTGACCCAGATAGCGGCGGCAGGGGAGGGGACGGCCTACTGACCTAGTTGTAACCCCCCCCCACTATACACACCACCTTCCACCTTCCACCCCGCCAGAGACACAGACAAGCCGACTGCTATTGACTCATCCCACCACCCGAATCTTATCTGCTCCAAATGAATTCAAACCACCGTATTGCGGTATCGTACTTACGCGACCAAGTAACGACCGTTTGAGCAAACATATAAATGAATACAGTACAACATGAATTAAATAAGGGATGGTTATGAATTTACGTAATTTAATTTAAATACAAGATAATAAACACGAGTGTAAATATTATAATTAAATTGTCCTGCTAATTAAATTAAAACAATTTTACTTTCAAAAATATACATCTCAACCGCTATCTATCAAGGGCATATGCATTTTTATACATGTTTGTTAACATGATAACAAAACAACCTTTACAAACACTATTAGATAGCATATATTGATTACCGGTACGATTAATTCTAAAAATTTTCGATCTGATTAAAGTCGTAAGGAATAAATATAAAACAAAATATTAAAACCCAACCGATCCAAAAAATAGTTTATTAATCGTCAAACTCGTAATTTTTGTAAACTCCAAAAACTGAACTAAATGATTTACAAATAATATTACATTTGGGTTAAAAATTATTTAAATAAATTTTATATACAGCGACTAAACGTGGTAAATATTATGTCGTGTGCAAAACATTTATTAACCTAAATCTTCGTTAAATATACTATTTACAACAAAGCCAACGACAAATATATATAAAATATTAAAATCATTACTTATCAGAGACGCGACAACAAATACGATTGCGAAGCGAGGCTCCTCGTTTCCATTAATTACAAGTTACCAATTATACCACATGATTGGCAACAAGCGCAGACACTTACAGCATAGGGCTAATGATGAGTCAGCATTGATTTCGCAAAATCCACGCCGAGCCATATACAGGGTGACCGAAAGCGAAATTGAAAGGTCAACCTATAGACGTTGACTGTCGTTGAACTGTCGACGACTATAACTTTGGTTTTGAGTAGAAAATTGACGACGGGAATTTATTTCATGTGTTTGGAGAATGAAAATACACTATGCTTACAATGATTGCCTGTTAGTAGGTAGATCGTTCTTAACTTACCTCAAAGATACAACGTAAGTAATATGAAGGGTGTGTTTTATTTGTCTTGTTTTAAGTGTTTACGCTAGTGAATTTATTATATGAGAAACACGAACGCTTTTTGGGCGAAAATTTATAAACCTTTAAGATTTTGGCGGGGTTTATCAGGGATCAAACCCGTGACTTTTGTACTTTAATCCGAGAAGCTAACTTCAGAGCTAGAGTCACACCCAACAACTGAAACAATTAAAAAAAATCATTTTTTTTTTTTGGCAGCATATAGGTAATAGTTACGACTTTAGAGTGTCTTATGATATGCCAAAATTATATGAGTACAAAATTTTGTAACCAATGTTTCTATTTGAATTAAGCATTTTATAGATTCTATAGTTACAGTATATAATTCGATTGTATAGCATGTTGTGAACAAACATGCCAAGAGAGCTGTATTTTACAATGTGTGAATTTAAACGACTTGTATTAGAACATTACACTTAAACCTAAATTATTTGGATGTAATATTTTTGGAATCTAACAATTCTAGTGAACTAATTATCCAATTTTACTAATTTTCTAGTAATTTTAATTTTTAATTAAGTCAATTTTAGAAGAATCCTAAAAGTTAACCACAACTAGAAAGTTAAATGCCCTGTAGAATATTTTTTCTCATCAATAGTAGTAGTACATTGCACGATGTTGAAAATATATTTATTTTAAACCCAATCACAATCAACAACCTTTTCTCTTTCTCCGCACTCTTTCTCGGTGTTTTCTCTTACAGTTCGTAGTCACTGCTAAAAGCTGTTGCAGACATATTTCACAACCGGGCAAATCTAGGACCAGGAAATGGACAGGTTTCACGTTTGTCTGAAGGTATTTATAGACTTGTAAAAGAGAAAGCATCCCTTGTAAATCAGTGTCCCGCCCCTTGTCATCGCTTCTGGGGTCCTTTTGATCCCACCGCGCCCCTGTCCCTTATTGGGCCTGCCCCGATTGTCAAAACAATTCTTGGGACGTCGGGGTTTTATGACCCTAAATGTGCCAATTTTCTATTTGGTGGAGAGAAAGGAGTTTTAGTAAGATTCGTAACTGGTACAGTGACGGTAGCTTTAAATATCTGTAAGTTGAATTTAGCTATTGACAACACATTTACGAGTATAAGTGGAAAAAATCATGGAAATTACGTAGGTATTGAAACAATTAGTAATCCTATCTTAAACTATTAAACAACTTCTTGATCAGCATTGTACGTGTACAATACGCCCAATGACATTCGCCTATTGGGTCTGATGATTGGAGTGTCCAATCGAAATCACCCACTTACCATCTGTTATGTATATTTACCGTCTTATGAGTTAGCAGTATAAGCGTATGTTTTAAGTGTTATTAGGCGTATATTTTATTTACTTTCTAATCTATTTAATTTAAAAAATACATACACTACAAACTCTCTGTTATCTATTAAACTGGTTGTCAAACTCGACCCATTTTTGTAAAAAACTTCAATCCGTAGGGCTTTTAATCTACATTTTTTCCGTTTTTGATTAAAGCACCCGGTATCATTTTTACCAACCTTACACCGTAAAACAATTTCGATTTGTCTGTAAGGGAGGATAATTGAAAAATAGTGATATCTCTAAAATACCTCCTGATAGGAAAATATTCCAACCCAAGTCTAGATGTTAAAAAATATCTAGAATTCCAGTAGTTAGAGGGGAGTGTGGGAGAGGCTAAAACCAGCTGTTTTGTGGATATAATCACACGAGAAGATGGTCATTATGTGGTCATCATCAGAGGCTGGGCGGTCTAGCTATCAGACGAATAAAACATCACATGATCTCTGGCCACCTTATTCGTGCTCTAAAACCCTGTATTTGTAAGTTTATACAGATCATGATGATCTGTATAAACTTACAAATACAGGGTTTTAGAGAACGAATAAGGTGGCCAGGGTTATTTTTAAATGTCACGAGGACTACGGTAAAATCAGGAAGACTAATAACAATTGACGTACCAGAACTTTGGATTTGTTGTCACAATCGATGCCAGTGAAAATTTTAATGTCAAAAATGTCTCACTAGAAAGCGGTCCAAACGTCCTAAATGGATACGCAGTGGTTTGGACCTATTCCTCTCGCACGACATACTTACTTAGCTATTGTACATTACTGATGTGCGGGATTTGAACCAGAAACTCCAAAAAATACCGAGGTATAAATACTTAAACAGCCTCATCCCTTCCAATTATAAAATATCACAATAGCTCGAGTTCTCTGACTGCGTTTGTGATTGTCCGTTTATTAAACCTTTTGGGTAGTAGACGCTCACTAAGAAAGGATTTTACCCTCCGACCTCTGGGCTCCGCCCCAGTGGCTCTGGAGTTTCCCATGTTAACCTTATGAGAAATGGAATTAATGAATCGTAACAGCTGTTTCAATTAAATAAGTTGGTTCTGTTCTATGATGTTCAATAGCAATAAAGTTACAAGGATTACCAACAGGGTGCAGCACTATTATTTCTTTTACATTTTATGACAACAGCTAATTTGCAACCAAAAGGTGAGTGAGCGTAGCGAACGAACTTCAACTTGGAGGCGAGTTAGCGTAGCGAACGAGCTAACCTGAAGGCAAGTGAGCGCAGCGAATTTTTTTATATAATTGCTAATACATTTTTACATATCTATTTCGTTCTCGGTACTAAAACATGTGTGATAAAGAAATATTCAAGATCCTAAATCTTTGTGAAATTCCGTTTTGCCCAAAGCAATAGAAAATGTCTACAATAATCCTTTGAAAACAAACACTACTTTTATAATTTATATTTCAATCGTATCAATGTCGTCGCAAAAACGTCGCAAAAAACAGTCCTTGACCACATATCGTGAAAACACGTGTGAATAAATACTTGCAAATTGAACTACGCAGCACGGGAACGTGATTACGCGTCAGGGGACGATTTTATTGAAGTAGGTCAAGAGGCAGTGGGGGCGGCCGGGGGCGGATGGGGGTGGCCTACATAGAACCACCCCCGGAGTATCTGGGCCAAGGGAAAGTGGCCAATAAATTGTTATTACCACGCTCATCCGTTTATTTCTATTGTTACCAGTCCCGGCGGTAATAAGGTCGCTGTAAGGGTTGATATCTGAGACTAATTTAAAGACAGTGGAGTGGTTTATGTTAATTATAACTTTTGAAGTTCAAGTGAAGTATCTATATATTAATTTGAAACTGGTTTTTTTGTGACAGCTAATTTGAGAGAACGGCTGGGCATAGAAACTCGGTAGAGGTGTCTAAAGAAAGGTCTTGGTCTGTAGATGAGCCATCAAAAGAGAAATGTGGTATATCCCCTTGGGGCTCTGCCCCAGTGGCCTTTAAATTCCCATCCCATGTTATTCTTATGGAGAAAAAAAGGGGTTTATCATAGCTAATTTGAGAGAACGGCTGGGCGTAGAAACTTGGTAGGGGTGTCTAAAGAAAGGATTTGGTCTGTAGATGAGCTATCAAAAGAGAAACGACGTAAATTTCCTTGGGACTCTGCCCCAGTGGCCTTTAAAGTTCCCTCAGCAGATTTGTTTACAATATGATCATATGGTAATTTTACACTACTTTTAATGAACCAGATGTTAATATTAAAATTGTATTACAAAGGTTAAGTGTTATGAGCATTTACTGAATCTGTCAAAGCACTATTAAATAGCGTGAGCATTTCAATTAGTTACATAAGCCTTTAGTCGGGTCTTTTAAACTAATAGAAAATGAATTATGACTGTTATTACTGTAGTTTTATGATAATAACTTCTGTATAATACCGGTACTTGACAATTGCTCGAATTCGAGCAACAGGTGCACTAGTAGTATAGTAATGAAATAGAAAATGATAAATTATTCCTCTCGTCGTAGGTTGTCGTCGTATTGAGAT